GACCACGTGGAAGTACCTAGATTAATGGAAATGGGTTAATAATTAAGACAGAGCTAGCCAATAAGAAACTAGTAACTGGTCAACAGAATTATATCAAATACAGAGTCTGTGTGTGTTATTTGGGGCTGGCGTGGCAGTGGGCCCAGGCCGGCAGGGAAAAACATACTCATAACAGATGAATGCATGCTAGTGCTGAATATACTCTTCCCTTAAAACACTTCAGAGCCCACATTCAGAGAATGGACTTGCCCACCCTAAAGAGCTCACAATCAGTTATGTAATCAAGATAATTCCTCACAGGCATGCACGACGGCCAGTCGCCTCAGTGAGCCTAGATTCATTCTATCGAGTAGACAGCACAAACCATCACAGAGAAGTGCTCATGGGTCAAAGAATATCAAGTTTTTCTATGTATATTTGATCCTCTGTTGGAGCTTAGGGAGCTGTTTAATTACAACCCATAATTGACCTTGGGTCCGAGGTTTAAATTCTTAGTTGCCTGCTTGCCTGACTTACAAAAGTGTTGGCTTCTCAGAAGGAGACAGCATTTGGCATTGGAAAAAACAAGAAGTCAGGAGAAGTGGAGAAAAGGAAGGAAGGAAGAAAGAAGGATGGACAATAAAAAAGATAAAGGGGGAAGGGAAACGTGGATATGGAATCAAGTGGAGAGCAAGAGGGGTAGAATTTACTGTGTAGTGGCTCTACTCACTCAAGCTGATCTTTGGCCATCTATTCAAAGAATCTTTTAGTGAAGCAATTTGTGTTTAAGGTTCTCACTGGAGTGATGGAGGAGGTCCTTCTGTATATATGCTCCTCTTATTAGTTGATGAATAACACACTAATTGGTGGCTAGCCAGGCAGGAAGTATAGGCGGAGCTACCAGATGAGGAGGATGCTGGGGAGAGGGAGGCAGAGAGAGGCTGCCAGGAAGAAACACCATGCTGCCGAATGAATAACATGCTAGATTATGGGCAAACCACAGCATCAAGGCAATATAGATTAATAGAAATGGGTTAATAATTAAGACAGAGCTAGCCAATAAGAATCCCTAGCCATCGGCCAACAGTTTATAACTTAATATATCTTTGTGTGTTTATGTGGGACACCAGGCTGTGGGACCAGGCAGGACAGAAATCTTCATCTTCACTGGAGGCCTCTGCATTGGATGGTCCAGGATGCAACAGAGGACAATGAGACAGAGATTATTCATTGTGGCCACACGTGTTTTTCACTACCGCTGGCAGACAGATATTCAACAGCATCTTGGGAGTTCTGAGCACCAGAGACAGTATGGTGGGGACTCTGAGAAGAAGAATTCAGGGTCCATGGGACATAACTAGGGTCTCTTCTTGTATCTGACTGCGAACAAGGTGGGGGTGGGGTGGGGGTGGAGTTAGTTTTATAGCACAAACCTGCATCCAAGCTCTCCGATTCCTGGAAGGAGGCAGAGAAGGCAGTAGGGACCCGTACCCCCCACCCCTCTGAACTCACTTTCCAGGTGGGATATGCTGGCACCTAGAAGTCTTGTGGACAGTGTCCTTGAGGGTACCTGTCAATCAATACCTATGAAAGAGAAAGGGCTACTGCAAAGCACTGTGCAAAGCACACTGGATTCTGACATGACTTCCATAAATACCAATCAAAAAATGTTCCCCACAGGGTCTGAGAGATTATATTCCATTTATTTTCTAAGATGCCTCTCAAACAAGTTTGGTGAAGAGCAATATTCCCTAGGGTGGTCACTGAAGGCCCAAATCATACTTAGTAAAATTGTGCCATTTAGCAATGTAGTCATGGGGTTAGGATTGTATTGAGTGTACACATAGGAAGGAGGAAAACCAGATTTAGGTGGTCTTATAAGAGCTGGCAGAAGGTGATTGAAAGCAAAGCTTGGGGTGGAGGTTTGGCTCTGGGTGGAGGTGTGGCTCAGCTGTTATGATCACCTGCTGCTCTTGTAGAGACCTGGGTTCCATTCCCAGATGCCACTTGGTGACTCACAACCAACCAACTCCAGTTGCAGAGGATTTGATGCCTTCTTCTGACCTCCATGGGCACCAGACACAGATGTGGTCCACTCATATACATACATAAATACAGTGAAAACACTCACAAATAAATCCTAATGGCCTGTTGTAAAAAGTGATGCCTGCAGGTTTTACATCTTTAGCCCTGAGTGGATGCTCAGCTGCTTCCCCACGAAGACCAGAAAAAAATGTGCTTGCAGGCAGGTAGACTACCAGACAGGATGTTCTCTGTGGCTAGAAATCAAACCTCAGGAGAAAGGATGATTTTATCTGGTTTGTCCAGATGAAGGTGCTGGAGTAGGAACCAGGCCCATCTGTGACAGCAGCTCAAGCGAAGGGTTTTGTGGAGCCTTCATCTGTGTTCTACCCCATGGTAACACTTTCAGACAACACATCACAGAACAGAAGCAGAGCAAAGGACAAATAAAGGGAAAAAATGATTGGTATGACTCTGACAGAGATACTAAACAATGGAAACTGGTAACAAAATCTAGGTACCCTGACAGCCAAACAACTCAAAGATAAACACAGCAGAGTTCAGGAGTACTGCTGACCTCTCACACATCAGTGCAGACACAGAAAGTTGTGAGCAGTAACAACAGGCTTTGGTGGGGCTGTGTCTGGTAGATAACTAGAGTTCACAGGGATGGATGGTGCCAATCATATTTCAGAAAAACATGGAAATAAACAAATTTGTTTTCACAAATGAAAACAGGAGTTATCCACAGGTTGTTACCACAAGGGACTGGTCTACTAAACATGAAGGCCAGCTTAAAGGCAGGCAGGGAAGTGAGAACATTTCATAGTGAAAATAAGGGAAGGCTTTGGACAGGCTCTGATTGGATCCTGGTGCAGACACCGAGGGCATGCTATCACCTTGTGTTGGGGAACATACCTGCCCTCTGTTGAGCCTGTGCTGAAATCAGGACGAAAGCCAACTGACTCACTGTACCAGTTCCTGGAGTCTGCACCATTGCTGCCAAGGTTATGGTTTGGCACTCTGGGCTGCTTGCTGTTAAGAGCAAGGCTGGCTTCCTGAGTGGACTGCTGCAAGAGGTATTCCTCAGGTTACACTGCCAGCGGTTACACTGCTTGAATATTCTGTCTTCCCTGTGAGGTTTTAGCATTGCTAATATTAAAAGTGACCCAGCTGGAGAGATGGCTCAGAAGTTAAGAGCAGGGACTACTCTTCCAAAAGACCTGGGTTTGAGTCCCACATGACAGCTCTGGAACTCCTCTCTCAGTGGATCAGGCACCAGGAGAGCACATGGTACACAAACATTCATGCAGGAAAACACCCAAACAGATAAGAACTGTAAGCCATTGACTGTTAGCATACATTTTTTAGTTACTGAACTGGCACTCACAATAATATTCACAAAATAATACTTGTTCATAAACCTCTCAGTTTTTAAATATACTGTTAAGTGCATTGTTTCCCCTTATCCTTATAACAACTTGTGATTCTGAGGTGACAATTAGCCTAGCTTACTCTGGATTAACGCTAGACTCGAGATTAATCATAATACAGAATCATATGTCATCTATAACTCCATTTTCCAGTATGCTGACCACCTATATTAATTGCAAATAAATACTTTTTATTTAGTACTAATTCCACACAATGATCAAAAGATCTTTTCCATTGCATCTAATCCTATGGTTGTTCTCTGTGGATCAAATTTTAGAATTTTAGATGGATAAAACCTTGATGGAGCTTATGAAAGATCATAGCTCCCTTTACATACCTGCAAAGCCACCATGTGGAAGGATTTTTCCTGTGACTCTAGAGGGCAGAACTAGTGAACTTGAGTGGAAGGGCGGCCAGTTTCAGCTAGAAGTATGAATTATCTTTCTAATATGGAGATGCTAAACCAAAAAAGGAACATGCTGCCCTGTGAAGGAGCCGGTTCCCAGGTCCCAAAAAGTTTGAGACAGACCCTCATCTCGAAGCCTGCTTTAACTAGCTACCGCAGCGAACCTCAAACACCTTAGAAATTTCATTACGCTTTGCAGAACAGGCATAGCTATTTTCAATGCTGCAATTTACAAGTCATCTCAGTTCTGGCTCATTGTATTGTGTTTCTCAAATACCTCGGGCTAGGGGACGGAGCAACACACCACTGTAATCACAGCACTTGGGAGACTGAAAGAGAAAGATCCGGAGTTCAAGGCCAGCCTGGACTACACAGTAAGCCCCGCCTCAAAAGAAAAATATTGAACTAAAATGAACAAAAACTCAACATAGAATTCTGGAAGAATCTGAAAGATTCCCAAATCTGAAAGAAAATATTGCCGACTTAAAGGACACAAAAGGTTTGAGTGGAAAGAAATGGTATCTGCCTAAATCTGGCCACTAAATCCTGATTGATCACTTCCTGAAGCAGTCTTTAGGCCGAGCTGGCAAATGTTCTCTCGGCCATATCTATTTTTTGTAACTGTGCATATTTACATTCATGCACATATGGCAAGGGAGAGATGACGCGAGTCTCTCCGTGGAGAGCAAGAGTAATAAGGAAATAAGTCAGGTGTCTGAGAAGGGTTTCTGTTAGAGCAGGGCGGATAGCCAGTGAGCGAATTTCTCACCTGCAAGAGTCCTGCAGGTAGCTTTTGCAAACCGGTGCACCCTCTTGAGAGGAGAAACTCTTTTGCTTTCTAGTCGCTTGCCTGAAGCTAGAGTGCATATTCATTTATCTTGCACCTGATAGTCTCCTTGGTGGCTGGTCACATAGATTCTTCTAGACCAGCAGCTACTTCTGAGGGTTTTGTTGTTTTGAGGTTAAGAAGGAAGAGATCAGTGAAAATTCTCTCCGGTTTAGTGGAGGATTCTCCGCGATGAGAAAGGGAAGACTTAAAAGCCGAAGGGGAAAGCAGCCTTCCCTGGCCCCCACGCCTCGCGTCCCCCCTACTCCATACGCGTGACCTCCTTTGGAGACCCCAGGTGGCACATCAGTATTTGATCCGCTCCTCTCCAGCCTGCTGCGGGCATTTGGCCACACACCACCCAGCTGCTGAAGCCAGCGCCCGGCCCCACAGGCGGCTTTGGAAGGACCATCTCCGTGCTCGCCCCTTCCTCGGGCTGCTTGTGTTTCGGGGCCCCCAGGGCGCGGCGCCCACCATGTTCAGCTGCCCGCCACTGGTGCTGCTCTGCCTGCTGCCCTGGCTCCTGCGGGCGGCGGTCCCCGGCCACCGGGCAAAGCCCCTCGCCCAGTCCGCAGAGCTGCTAGGCGATTCCCGCGACCCCGCCAGGGGCGCCGATTTCGATCGCGTCTACAGCGGAGTGGTGAGCCTCAGCACCGAGAACATCTACTCCTTCAACCACACCAGCCACCCTGGCCAGGTAAGAAGCTCGCTCCCTGGGCTGACTCCAACTTCCGAGATCGCCCAGCCCCCTCGGTACCTCCGGCTGCACTAGGAATGGACCTAGGGCGACTTCGGGGACCAGGAAACCCTCTCCCTGCCTCTCTGTTGCGAGGCAATCGCTGCCCTGCCCCAGCCTGGGCACCAGCTTTGGGCACCTCTCGGTTTCACCTCGCTCCCATCCCAGCCTGATCGCTGCCATTCCTGGGCTTTGCAGATGGGACCCGCATCCTCTGCGGATCTTGGCTCAGGCTGGGCCTTTCTCCAGGATGTATGGGTGGCTATGTTCGCGGGAGGACGGAGGAGGGCGGGGGAGGACAAACCTGTTCCTAATCCGGTGCAGACCCTTTTATTTTATGGCACAAGGGGAGGCCGAGGTGCTCACGACCTAAAATGGAAAGTAAGCGTGTGAGAGTGGACAGGTCTCCTGTGTTCTGCTACCATCCCCACACTGTATGCTTGGTTTTTTGTTGTTTGTTTGTTTTAAGCCGAGTCAAAGACGTTGTAACTGCGATGCTCAAGTGATCTGTGCAGGCTTTGAATATACTTAAGGGTGGGAATTTGTGTGAAAGTTCTAGATCTACCTGACAAGAGTTATGGTGAGGCAGGGAGGGAAGAGAATAATTTCAGCGACCATGTCTCTGATTTAGCTGATTATATAATGTAAGACAATGCACAGAATTCACATTTTCCTTCGATAAGATAGCTTTAGGAGGGCTGGCTGTCCCGTGTACCTCCTGTGTTTTCTTCCCGTATAAAAGCATCATTCCTTGCTCCCTTAGGGACATTTCAAAGGCAGATGATTGGAATACCTCTCTCCCTTTCAGTCTGAGCCTCATTCAGTGTCACAGTTCGGAAACTCTCCAGTGCCTTTCTGTTGTGTGTATTGAGAAACTGCCCCAAGCTCCCCATCTCCTGCCTGGCACCAAATCCTATGGCATTGTCTCCATGGCAGCAGAGTCTTTGCCCTGCCTGATTCCTGTAAGCTAAGATTGTGCCCTGTAGCAAGGGGACTTAATGTGTGCAAAGCCATTCACCTGCATACCCCACACAAGGGACTTCTGCCTGCCCAGTGTGGGATGCCCACCACCAGGCTAGTGTATTACACAAGACAGGTTCCTAGTCCAGTGGTTTCCTGGAACTAGATGAGAGCCCTGAAGTTCACAGGGTCTCTGAGGTACAATGCCAGCTTCGTCCTAAATCAAATAGCATGTGCGAAGAGGGTCGTGACAGACTTTAGTGTTTCTTGCAGTTCTGCTGAGAAACAAATGAGATATTTTATTTTGTGTTTCTTTCTTTCATCTTTCCTTTAAGATCTATTTTGTTTGTATTGATTTGTGTGTGTGTGTGGTGTTGTGGGTGTGGGTGCGCATGCGCATGCCATGTACTTGTGCGGTGCCCACAGAGGCCAGAAGAGGGGGCCAGACCCCTAGGAACTTGTGAGCTGCTAGAGGCAAGTGGTGGGAACTGAAATGAGGTCCTCTGGAAGGGCAATATGCACTCCTATCTGCTGAGCCCTCTCTCCTTGGCTTCGCAATAGAGTCTCATTATGTGGTCCTAACTGGCCCCAAACGTGTCACTCTGCCTCAGCATCCTCAGTGCTGAGATTACAGGAACATACCATCCCTTCTAAAGGACTACCTGCTGTTTTATGTTGCTTGTCTTTGCCCCTTAGTGTTGTGAACATCTCACCACCCCACACAGGCTATGCTGTTTGTACTTGAGCTCACCTGCTTGACTTTCCTTGGACACTTGAGATATTGAAGCCAGGGGTACAATCATTTTCTGTTCAGTATTTCAGAGGGTTATAAATGCTTTCTGCAAAACTAAATGAACAAATGAATAAAAGCCTAAGGAATAGTAAAGACAAAGTCAAATAAAATCAAATACATATTGGAAAAATGTATCCTGTGTCCTTTCTATTTTGCATGTGTGCATTTAAGCACTCTTTATGAGACAATGGTGATGGCTTGAAGAATATCTACACACGGTACAATAAAAAGTCAATAATACATTACTAGCCCTAGAAAACAAAGCAGAAGGTAAGTGGTGGGTTAAACCAGCAATCTGCAACTGTACTAACTCACCAGAGGTCAAACCCCATCCAGGGCAGGAAGGGTCCCCAGGGAGCCGCTCTTTCCTTCCCCACTCTGACCTGGCCCTCTTCTTGGCCACTCCCTCTCCCCACAATTCCAAATGCTGGCCACCACTATCTCAGTTTTTGTTGTTGCTCCACATTGAACAACTTTTACCTCCATTTCCAACTCCAGACTCACTGAGGAGCTAAACCAGAGGTTCGCTTTCCAGAGGAGGGGCTTGTCATGACTGAGCAGTGTGTTGTTAAGGCAAGGACCCCTTTACTATGCGGTCATTTCCACTACTCTTCTCCCATCAAGAATTTAGGTTGGAAAAAAAAGTGTCCATGTTTTTTGTTTGTTTGTTTAAGTTGTCATCTTTTGTTCTTCTTTTGAAGCCAATCTTGCTTGCCATTCCCTTTGTCTTGAAGGAGGAAGTCTAAAAATCAGGCTTTGGTAAGAGAGGATCAGGCAGGAGCCTTTACTCTGGCCCTTTCCCATCAGCCACTGCCTCTCTTTTACCACATGGAATGTGTCACTTTAGCTGAACTCAACACCAGGAAAAGTCTGATATGCCTTGAGGCCAGGACTAGTGTAAATATGAAGTTGACATTAAAAAAAAAAAAAAATCTGTGAAAGGATGGCTTGGCCAGTTTAAAGCCAAATAAAGGAAACGTGGTGAAAGGTTCAGGTTCAGCAAGGTAGCATTCATTTCATTTCTCTGGAGAGGAATTGTCCAGAGACTCCTTTAACTGGGAGTTAGAGTTACACTGTGCAAACAGGTGTAGAACCACAGGGCTCAGTCAACCAAACAGGAAATCACCTTGCAGGAAAGCCACTGGGGATAGATTGACAGGGACAAGGACACAAACACAAGTCTACAAGGAAATGAGAGCACCCTGGTGGAGGTTGGGAGGAACATTCTACATTCCTACTGGGGCTGTTTCAGTATCAGAAGCCCTCACAGAAAAGTGTAACCAGTTCACAGCAGGCTGTCCTCTCTGAGACAAGCAGGGACAGAATTCCACAGTGGCCAGAACACTTGAGATCTGGAAACATTTATCTCTTTTGTTATCTCTACCCCTCCCCCATTTGCTTGCTTTTAAATTAGCATACAAAGTAATAGGCTTGTGTTGTTTCTCAAACTTTGCTTGTATTGGCCCTTCCCCTGCCATACCCACCCCCCATCTCCTGGCTCACCCTCATCCTGCCCTGTACTGTTGAGCTCAGTAGACCCCGTCTACTTTCATATTATGTACTCTGTTACTCCTCCTTCCTTAAAATCTCATTTTCTCAGTTGAGCGGTAACAGTACATACCTTTAATCCCGGCACTCAGGAGGCAAAGGCAGGTGGATCTCTGTGATTTTGAGGCCAGCCTGGTCTACAGAGTGAGTTCCAGGACAGGTTCCAAATGCTACACAGAGAAATCCTGTCTCAAACCCCACCACCACCAAAATAAAAATCTCTTTTTCTCTTTTATGGTCCCTTTCTAGTTTCATGACTTATATCTACACCCACATCCACATAAGTACACATGTAAAAATTAAAATCTTGGACGCACATATGAAAAGTTAATACAGTGTTTGTCTTTCTGAGTATGAGTTGTTTGCTTAATGTTACAGTTTCCAGATCCACCCATTTTCCTGCTGGTTCCATAATTTCATTTGTCTTTACACATGAGTAAAATTTCATTGTGTACATGTATCACATGTTCATTAGCCATTCTTCTGTTGATGGACATCTAGTCTGATTCCATTTTCTTATTGTGAATAGAGCATCTATGAACATGCATGTGCAAACATGTCTGCCTAAGATATAGAATTCTTTGGATATATGCCCAGGAGCAATATGGTTGATAGTTTTATTTGTACTTTTTGGAGCAACCTTCATATTGATCTCCATAGTGGATGACCAGTTTGTACTCACACCAACAGTGAATAAGGGTTCCTCTTGTACCCTTTTCATTTATGTTCATTGTTGTTGTTCTTGTTTGGTTTTTTTGTTTGTTTGTTTGTTTGTTTGTTTTCGGGTCAGGGTTTCTTTGTGTAGTCCTAGCTGTCCTGGAACTCACTCTGTAGACCAGGGTGGCCTCAAACTCACAGAGATCTCTGCCCGTCTCTGCCTCCCAGAATTGCATTAGTGTTCTTAACAGTAATCATTCTGACTTGGGTGAGATGGAACCTCAGCTGTAACAAGATTTTATCCTGCCAGCTCCCAAACAATGACACGGAGACTTCTTATTAATTATGAAAGCTAGGCCTTAGCTTAGACTTATTTCCAACCAGCTCTTATAACAAATTAACCCATTTCTATTCATCTACATGTGGCCATGTGGCTTGTGGCTTTTATCTCTCCTCTTGATGTCCCACTTTCTCAGCATCTGGCTGACAATTCTGCCCATCTTCTTCCCAGAGTTCTCTCTCTGCTCTGAAGCCCTGCCTGTACCTCCTGCCAAGCTATTGGCCATTCAGCTTTTTATTACACCAATCACAGCAATACATTTTCACACAGTGTACAGGAATATTCCACAACAATCAACCTGTGTCTTAATATTCTTTTCTTTGATGGTTAAGGATCTTGAACAATTTATTGGCCACTTGTGTTTCATCTTTTGAGAAGTGTCTGTTTGGTTCATTAGCCCATTTATTTGACTGGCAGGGGTCATTTTTGTGTTTATATTTTAAAAATTCTTTATGTGTTTTACATGCTAACACCTCCTTCCCCAATCTGAAATATGAATGCCAAATACTTCCCTCTGTGTTAGTGGCTGTCTGTTCACTCTGCTGATAGTTTCCTTTGCTATATAGAAGCTTTACTTTAAGGCTATCTACTTTGTTGGTTATTAAGGTTATCCTCTATTACTGGAGTCCTATTCAAAATATTCCTGCCTATGTATTTATCTGC